CACTTACACTATAATTATTAAACCTTTTCCTCTTTGTATTCAAAAACTTGTTATGATATTTTTATTTATGTGTTATAGTATTCATATAAAATAAATGAAAATATGTTGCAATTATATATTATGATAAAGGTAGTTTATAAACACGGACTGAAGTGTTGGTTTAAATTACTGAAATAGCTGCATACTGGTTATCACTCTACCATTTCCAAATTTCTTAAATAATTTAATTTTTTGGATAGCACTATATTACCTAATATAACCATTATTTCACAACTAATACTGAGCATTGTAATTTGTAATGGTTCTAGACAACTAGTCTTATTTATCATTATTTAACTAAACTCTGTTTGTTTATTTGAGTTAACCTTTTTAAATTCAATATGGTATAGGATATCTGTCAACTTCTAGTACACATGAAACATCCAGAAGTGTATGAGCAATTGGGTGTTATTCCTCCAAGAGGGTTTCTTCTTCATGGACCCCCAGGATGTGGGAAAACCCTGCTAGGCCATGCCATTGCAGGGGTAGGTACTGAAAACTGTTGATTGTACCATTGCCAAAATATCAATTTTTAGTTTCTTTCTCTCAAGTAATTGCTCTAAAGTGTTGCTTTAAAATTTATGATAATATTTAAAATTATTTTATAGAATATCAGTTGTTATTTATGATATATTATAGCCAGTAAATGCAGACTAATAATGTTACACGGGTATGACCAGTCAATATACTTCTGTGTTATAAATTATCTTTTCAATTATATTAACTTTAACCCTTTCCAAAGTGGGAGGGGGGTACTGATATTTCTTTATTTTCTTCCTTTTTACTCTAGAAACTAACAGATTTATTGGTGATGTAAGACTTGACCTTTCAAAATGAAGTCAGGTCATACTAAGAAACAATATTTTTGCCACTTATATTTTTTGATGAAATAAATTTATATATTAAAAATATACTTTCTTTGCAATAAATTATAAGTTTGTTTATTGATGTACATTGTTTAAATACAAGAACCTTAACAATAATATTCAATAAAAACGAATTTAAGTCGCCAGTATATTTTGCCTTCACCTTCCATGCCCTAAACCTAATAAGGCATGTCTTGTCACAGAAGAAAATTTCCATAGCTTTTGAACAAACCTATTTTAACACCAAAACATTTTCAGGAATGAAAAGAATATTTTAAGAAACTGTAAACAAACTCCCAGATATTTAGTTTGTTCTTAAGTCTTCCAGACTTTCCTTTGTTGTTCTTTGCAGGAACTACATCTGATTACTTTCCCATGAAACCATAAATTACTTCTCATTCCACTTTTTAAAACTGTACATTGGTGTGAATAGTTTATAATCTGCTCTATATAGTGGTATTTCAACTTTGCCAGTAGGTGTTTTCAAAAATGTTCACATCACACTGTCTGAGGTCATAAAAGGTTTAAACTAGAGTCCATCCTAATAAAATCAGAGAAAGAGAATGAAAATCATGTGAGAAACAAAACCTTCAGAATTTTATTCTCAAGGAATGATTGTTAACAAATGTAATCCTATGTTTTGAGATATGCAGAAAAAACTATAAAAAAAAATTGATAAGTGCATTGTTTATAGTCAAGGCTCTTTGCAGCTTTGCAGAAATCAATGTTTGAACATTTTTTCGTTATGCTTTGCAAGTCACACTAAATGTTATAACATTATAAAAGCATCAATTGTAAAATAATTGTGATAAAAAATTTTTTTAAATACACTTACTTTAATATTTTTACTTAGATTTGAAAATTTGGTATGCAGGTGTCCATTCAATACATGAAAGGTGCTCATCATCCCTGAAAGGGTTGATGCTGTTGAGTAGATTAATTATATATTTGTTTATATATACAAATACCTTGTTTATCTGGATTGATTTTTGTATGTTTTTGTTTTTTACAATTTATAAAATAACAATAATTTTTCAGGAGCTGGGTCTTCCTTTCATAAAGATAGCTGCAACAGAAATAGTGTCAGGAGTTTCAGGTGAATCAGAGGAAACAATTCGAGATCTGTTTGAAAAAGCAGTAAATAGTGCTCCTTGTATTCTTTTTATTGATGAAATTGATGCTGTCACTCCCAAGAGAGAAAATGCTCAGAGAGAGATGGAAAAGAGGATAGTTGCACAACTTCTGACATGCATGGATGGTAAACATACTTTAAGTGCACTTATGTTGTTATAAAGGTGCTAGGTTGAAGTCACACATTCAAAGAAAGATTTTCCAAATTAACGTTATGCTATACTTTGGTAAATTTTAATGTATTACATTTAGTTTTGTAATATTTGGGAGTTTTTTAATTGTTTTTAGTGTTACTTTTAGTTTTATTTGTACATTATTGTTTGATTCTTCATAGTATTATATGTATTTTGTATTAGTTTACAATTAGTTTGTTTAGATATAGTGTTACATTCAGTTTTATAAAATTTTACTGTAGTTGTTTGTGTATGATGTTACAAATGTCAACCTTACTTTTAAACAATCACAAGATTTGATACTTTACATTTATAGATATTTCTATATTACTTGAAATGAACTCAAAGAAACTTTAAAAATGTCTTGAAACTACATGCACGAGTATTGTTAATCTGTTTTTTCCTGATATTTGTACTTGTTCTACTAAAATGTACATAGTATTACAGTGTATTTAGAATATATATTTATTTTTATACTAAAGAGCTTAACCAGAAAGACACTACAATACAAGTTTTGGTAATTGGTGCTACAAACCGTCCTGATTCCCTTGATCCTGCATTACGTCGTGCTGGGCGATTTGATCGAGAAATTTGTTTGGGTATTCCTGATGAGGCTGCAAGAAGCAGGTAGCTAGGTACTTTTTCTCCTGTTTATGGTTTTGTTTATTTTAAGTTTCCTACATTGTATAATTGATACTTGAAACCTTTGGTATTTATTGAAACTTTATAATTACAGTTTCTTACATTGGTTTAAAAATCATTGATTTTATTTTAAAAAATTTCTGTTTGCTGAAAACAAAACCAAAATTACCAATTATAAATTCTGTAATTCTTTGGGATAAATATACTTCTAGTACAAAGTTATTTTAATGCCAATAAAGCAAAGCAAATTAAAAACCATATACAAAATTTCTCATCCACATTTTTAGTAGTTAGTAGTAATTATTGATTGGTTAAGAAAAATATCCAAACAAGTAAGTTTTGTTGGTTATCAGTACCTTCCTGCTTCTGATGTCAAGAGGAACCACATTAATAAATTTATATTTTTCTTGAAAATAAGTTTTATTGAATTCCAAAAATTTACATTTTGACAAAATTCATACAAAAAATGAAGCACCTCTGTTGATTTTATGCTGAAAAATGTCTTTTTCTGGTCAGTTATCTTAAAAAATAATATCCACGAGAAGATACTAGCTAGAAATCTAATCCAGATTTTCAGCTTTTTAAAAACATCCATGTACTCTGAAAGAGTATGTGTTTCTAGTTATGAACAATAATTTACTGTAAGAGAAGACCATAATATAGTTTACAAATCTGAAAGACCTTTATTGTGATAATCAATTTAGTAGTAAGTTTAGAAATGCTTTAATCTTTCGGATACCTGATTTGTAGGATAGATTTAATTGAATAAAAAAAAATTTGGTTTATTTAAATATTAACTTTCTGTAAACTATAAGTTTATGTTATTTAAGTCTTCACTTATATCATATTCATTAGCTTATTTATGAAAATCTTTATAAGTGTTCCCTGGAGCACGAAAGAAGTGGTAAAGAACATTAGCATATGTGTTCTTTTTTTTAAGAAGCTTTAGTCCAACACAAAATGTTATCACAGTGCCTAAATCTATTGTATAAATTATATTCAGCTAAACTTCATCCCCACCAACATTTAATTTTTATATACTAATTTGGTTAATAAGTGATTCTGAAATTTTAAAAGTACTCTGAAGAGGAAACCATATTTAAATATGTAACAAAATTTTTAACACTTGATTAATTGCTCAACAAAAATCAAAGTCTTGCAAAATGTTGAGATTAAAATATGTTTACCTAAATTTCACAGTTCCCACCCACAACCTCACTTGTACATGTAAAATATTATATTTCAATCTTCTTTAAGAATTGTACATGAATTGTTCACTTAACTAATGCAAATACTGTATATCATCATATAGTGGAAATTTTGAAGTGAGATCTTTTAACTGATAATTCTCAGTTTATTAAAGGGTTCTTAGTTTTAATTTAACAGGCTTAATAGATATTGTGATTGACCCAAGAGTTGGTGGTAGATGGTGATGACTAGCTGCCTTACCTCTAGTCTTTCATTGCTAAATTAAGGATGGTTAGTGCAGATAGCCCTCGTGTAGCCTTGCATGAAATTCAGAAGAAACCAAACATCCCACTTTCTGTCCCTGTAGGTGATGCCTATTTCTATACTGGGTGCAGAGTATGCCTGGTACAGAAGTGATGTGGTTTCTCACATGTGTTCCTCTCCCAACAGGGATCACATTTTGTGGATGTTCTTTGGATGCTTTCAAAGGATACTCATTTCTTTCCCTCTACTTATTCAGTGTGGGATTCTAGCTATACATATGAGTGGAGTTAATGTACCATATCAGAAGTTATTATTTTCTGACACTGAAAATAGATTTCTGATAGGTACTTACCTCCTCTTACACTTCCCACCCTTCCTCCTCACTTCAAACTGGTGATTTCCTATATGCCTGATCTCAAAGTGATAGTTTGGTAGAATTGAATAGAGGGAGTAACATGCATCAGGAGGGTTTGTCACACTCCTAATTGTGGAGGTTGTCCCATGATGATTTACATGTGATACGTGGGAGTTCAAGGCTTGTGATATGCTAAAAAAATTTTTCATATAGAGGGCAGAACTGAACGAGAAGAGTTATACATGTGAGAGGAGGTAAGAACCTACCGAAAATAATAACTCATTCACAATATCTTAAAGCTATACAGAGAGTGTTTAAATTTTCTATTATCCATATGGATATTTTATTTATGAATTTTCTGTTAGTTTAAATGTCATGATAAATTGTCACTTTCAGAATACTTAAAGTCTTATGCAGAAACTTGAAACTTCATTCTTCTGTTGATTTCAACTTGTTGGCTAAAATGACACCAGGATGTGTTGGAGCTGACTTGATGGCTTTGACACGAGAAGCAGCAATTTGTGCCATTAACAGGTAATTTAGTTACCTCTTCATCATTTTTACAAGTTTATATATTTCAAATAGTGGTTTATTTTATTTTCTTCCATACGAATAAGTTGCTGATTGATTGTAAAAAAAGAATGGAGACAATGTGTACATACAGTTATAATGTAATTTTAAATTGTAGACTAATCATTATTGTGTAGATAATTGTTTTAAAATTTCTATCCCAGATATGTGTTATTGAAAAAGCTATTTTATATAACTGTACCATGTGGGTAGTTGAGAAGTAGGTTTAAGTCAAAGATTATTGATCAAGTAGTTTTAACTCTTTAAACCTGTAATTTTTTTGCACTTTCTGCCAGAATTATTTTTATGATACCCTAATAATCATCACAGTATCTTAAAAAAATTCTGTACTGTTTATAAAAGGCTGATAATAACATGGTTTGGATTAATTTTCAATAAAAGGGACATAAATGTTATCAGATGCTGTCACTTTTCGATAGGTAAATTGGGATTTTCAGTCAGACACTGGGAACGGCCACTCGGGTTTAAGGAGTTAATATCCAAGCAGTAATTAATGATAATTATATTGGAAAAGAAGTACCAGAGAAATTAATTTGGGACAATTAGAATTGTTAGTAGGTTTAGTAAAATAGAAAATAATATTGTAAGCTCACAGTGTTGCTATAATAGTAACAAAGAAGTAGGCTCATTGTTCTCACAGGTCAAGGAAACCAGGAAAAATGTCAGGGAAATTTATACTTTGCATCACCAGTCCAGGAAAAGTCAATGAATTTCATGTAATTCAGTAATGTTTATAGGACACAGGTGACAAAAAATTCATTATCATTAGCACCAAAAAATCACACACAGGTTAATTCTGGCACATTTAGCTGGTCGATATGTGTATTTTATGTATAAACATTGTTTTATCTACATCAATATGTTTCTTTACTGTTGATTGTCATGAAGTATGAAGGCAATTGTAATACTGATATATAACTTAAACAATACCCAGGTCCTGCCTAAATGGAGCATAAGGACTGGACAAGGCTTAGTTTTTGTCTTCCTAAAACTTGGTCATAAAGGATCATTTTACAACATACTAAAAGTTCTTAACAAATTACTATTTAGAGATAGGCTGCTTCCATTAAATAAGTTATTTTGATCTTACAAAAATTAGTGCATTACTGAAATAGTCCCCAGGTTAGTCATCATAAAAGGAACATTTAATACCCTTGGTATATTATGCCATTGGCATACTTGTCCAGGAAAGATTTGAAAGGTGTCAAAATGAAAATTAATAGTTTGAGGTAAAGCATGGGAATTCAAAAGTAGAATAAATCTTCACATTTTTAGTGAGTTTTTTATTTTGTATCTGTACTTTCATTTATTAAATTAACTGTGAAAAATAACTATAATAATTATATAAAAAATAATTTATCAGTAATTTTGTTTAGAAGAGTTACACAACATTTTATCCTATAAGTGTGATTTATCCCTTTACATTTATTCTCCTATTGACCACGTACTCACTGGTTACCTTAATATTGTGACTGTTGTAGATTTATGACTTCTTTGAATAAAGGTCTAAAATTCTGGGAATGTCCAAAAATCTTTGGGAAGTGCACCAAAAAGTATTTAACACACCACTATTCTGAACTATATATATAAAACCTTCCAAATTTGCTTGGAATCAAAATCAGCATGTAATGCACCATATTGTTTACGTGTATTACTTGTATGACAGTATTCTCAAAGATGTTTGCAAGATAAATTAATCTGCACCAGTAGAATGTAAGCTTTTGTCATGAGTGCCATCACACAGATAAGTTTTGGCATAATTATGTCTTTTGACATCAGTAAATTCATACATTAGTAAACTGTAATCGTAGATAACAGAAACGGCAGATAATCGAGACACTGGTGTATCTCGCTAGTTAACATATTGTTTAATCTAAGTAAGATTTTTCAATATATTTAAGTTCCTTGTTTTAATTTATAATCTCTTTACCATCGTTTAATCACGTTATCATGAAAAATTATAAAAAGTAATCATAATCATAAAAGCCAAGTGTTGTTTGGTTACCAATACATAACTGGGCAACCCAACACAACCTGAACATGCAACTATGGTTAAAGGATGACTGCTGTGCAGCACAGAACAGCAGATGACAACTGAAGTTGAAAGAAATGTTTAAAAAAATCTTTATGTGTTTTTGTATACTATGTTTTTATTCACTAATCAAATACAGTTAACCAAGCTACAAATATTTTGTATTCCTGTCTTAACAGCCAAAAATGAAAGAGGCAAGGCTAGGCTTAAACCAGCCGACTTATGATTTGAACCCCAGATATCATGGAACACCTGAACTTTTGCAACCACGATTAATTTCTAAGTGACAATTCTTCCAAAACATGTAAATTATTGTCTAGAATTGTAATGGCACAATTATTTTAAGAATATTTTGGGGAAAGAAAAAACCCGTGAATAATCAAGGATCACGGATAACAGAGGCATGGATAATTGAGGCGTTAGTGTAAAATGGGGTCAAAATTACTCTAAAACTCTTTAAAACATCTATGTGATATGGCCAATAGCCAGTTTAGAGGGGTGTCTGATATTATAAGATCTGTAATATATATAAAAATTATAACAGAAAATGTGGCTATTAACACAGAGAGGACTGGTTTAGAGAACTTTTACTGTAGTTAGTTTATGATCAGTAGTTGTACCATAAATGTAATATCGTGTAAAGACTTTATAAGAACTAGTGATATGTAGAATAAATCATCTTTATAAGGTTGAGAAATTGTGAAAGATACACATCGAATTTGTATGCTAACTTTTCAGTAACTAGTGTAGTTTGTATTCTAGCTGTTTCAACCAACCACATTATTTTGAATTTTTTATTGATCAGTTATATTACAATTGCAACAAATGGCTTTTAGAAACTGTATTCAGAACACCAGCTGTAATATTTTACTGGAGCATGTTATCATGTGACACCATTAGCGCAATTTTAATTTTGACCAAGTACCAAGGTAAGTTTATGCAATATGAGATAGAAACTGCAAGTTCTTATCAACACTTTGTTATTGGACATTGGATACTAGGAACTCCACCTATTTATTTTTGTTTTAGCAAATCAAATTGGTGTTCGTAAGGCTAATTAAAGTGCACCACTGATGCTTTACAATCATAAATCCATTTTAGGTACATTTTTATCAACCATGAATCTAATCCGATAGCCATTGTTAGGTGGTTGTTTTGTGCATAAGGTCTTATGTTTCAGTGAAAATAGAGGATAGATTTTCAGTGTATTAAACAAAGAACAAAAATGTTTATAATATAATAATCAGTCAACTCTTTAATGTTTTTGTCACCTTGCAAATTTGTAAATATGTAACCAATGAATATCAAAGGAAATAAGTCAGTCTGTCTGAGTAAATAACAAAATATCAATATGTTTAAGTAACCTATAACATATGAAATTGAATCATGTATGATAAAATTTATTTTGGAAACAACTTAAAATATTTGGAATGAAATGTACGCTGATACTTTTTGAATACTTGTTTTTTTAATTAAAAATCTCTCACATAGAGGAAAAAGCTTTCATATAAAATACTTGTTTACCAAATTCAAATTTTACACTAATTAGTATTTTGATTATCAATTAAAATACTTTAATGAAGCATAATTTTTGTGAAATTGAATGAGATTGTTTTAGTTGTTGTTTTTTTTCTGTTCTGAAACAGTGTGGGAGAATTTACATAGTTTTGTCATGAAGAACATTCTTATAATTATATAATAATTTCCACCAGAAGAGTTACTAAAAATATTTAATAAGAATTACAATGAATTATAATTAGTCTTAATTATGAGTGACAGGTAAGCCACAAAAAATGCCTCTATGACCACTCTGGCTTAGATCATCATTTGGGTATCCTCATGAGCTTTTTTATGTTGATATTCAAACTTCTTGATTCTTTTCAGGGTATTCAGTGCCTTACAAGAACCCACCAAGCTGGACACAAAATTTAAATCCAGTGTCCAGGAACTTCAGGTTGCATTGTCTGAAGAACATCTTTCTAATGGAAAAACAATTGTACAGACCATTTCAGATAAACAGCTTAGACCAAAGTTAGATATCTCTACACCAAATTCTATTTCTAAAGAAAAGCTTGAAGAAGGTACATGCATTTTATTTTGTAATCAGGTCTTTTTCAAAGACACTGACAGCATCACCAAAGAATTCTATTCCATAACAAGTAAAAAGCAGCTGGCTAGCAACTGCATATACTTAATTGTCTCCATGATAATGTTTATATAGATGTAGTCATGCTTCTTGCCTAAATATTTAGTATGACACATGGACATATCACATAATTTACACAAGTTCTTACATAATATCTATTATAGGGCATATAAATGTTATATGGGTATCATATATAATATCACATAAGTATGTGTGTTGTAATTTATTATTTTATAAAAGTATGTTATAATGTAAGTATGGCCGTATAAATTTGTATCATAACTCACAAGAATCTCTATACAGATAGGTTTCATAACTCACAAGATGTCTGTATAGGTAATTGTCATAACTCACAAGTATTATTGTACATATCTTTATGTCATAATTATGCTCTTGTACTTAAACAAACATAAAGACTTATTTTTGTATCAAAAGTAAAAAATAAAATTAATCTTTCTTTTCTAAAATAATTTGTTACTGTATCATATACATTGCTTTCGGATCTGATTTACTGTAGAAGGTTGTGCATAAAAAGCACTTTGTAACCACAATTGAGAATAAATAACTTGGTCTTAGAAATCAGATTTAGTTGTAGTATTTTAGTCAGTCAGGAAACATTGTGTATATATTTTTGTTTAATTTACAAGTTAATATTTTTAAACTAACTAAATATTTGGCTATACTTGCCCGTAAAGTATTTGAGCTGTGAAATGACTAATGTTCAGGTTAGGTTTCAGACATTGAATGTATACAGTTTCTTTATTATGTAAAGTCCTAGCATTTAACCATAATGGTATACTAAGGACATATTACACAATTTTGAATGTTTTCCTTTGCATAGATACACACAATTTGTATCTGTGGTTATGGTGGCTACTTTGTCCATGAGTTAATCCCAACATTTTCTGTTTAAGCATTGAAATGGCTTCAAGATCAGCCTCCTTTATCAACAGAACAACTTCAAGAACTTTATATAGAGATGGTTGATTTTCAGGTAAATTGTATTTTTCTGTCAAGTTAATAAACTTTTTCATAAAACGGTCAAGAATGTTTCCAGCACACTTTTTTTTTACTGGATAGAAAAAATAGATTATTAAAATTATTCTCAACTAAAGAAACTAGCATCACTATGATAATAAGGGTACATGATATCAACTAGGCCATTTCGAAAAATATTTTTGTAAGAAGAGCTTCACATGATAATTTTATTTTCACGACAAGAATCTTGAGAACTGCCTTCAGCATGTAGGAATTATATATATACATAAAATATTGGGAAGTAAGTTTTCCAAAAACAAGTTAGTACTTATTGACAAGTAATTTAATTAAATAAGAAATTAATATTACAGATCAGAGGGAAGCATGTAAAATTGTTTTATCACTTGATACATGTAAAGTTAAATATATATATATATAAACTAAAATTTATTTTTGCCGTCAAAAGTGATTCATTTATCTTGGAAATTTTTCCACATTGTCAGCCAAGGGTAAATATACACAATGCCTCAGCTAAATGTTAATAGCAATAGCAGAATGAGCCTGTTATTAATTTCTACATTAATCCACTTGTTCCTATAAAGCAAAATCACAGGCAGCAATCTTCTTGCACTGTTCTAGTGTGTATTTAGTGCTAATTTTTAATTAGCACTGAAATGTAAACAACCTCACTGTTGTCATATATACTTGTAACATTTTATATTGTATTGTTATAAGTGGATCCTGGTCACTAGTTAGTATAAGTTTAGACCTATCATTTAAAGTAGACTTGTTATAAGATTAGATGCTCTGACTTCTACACTAGCTTGAGTCGTGTTTATCAATTATTTCTGGTTAAAATATAAGCAGGGTTTTTATATGTACAAGAAGCTTAGTTTTGAACTGAGTAAATTGTAGTAATGAAAAATATGGAATAACAATACAGTATTCATACTAATTTTCCACCAAGCTTAAAAAGTATTTAAAAATAATAATTTGTTATCCATGAACATGAAATAGCAACAGCTCAATATCTGTTATTGTTGTTGTATAAAGGAACATTGGTTTTGCTCTTTTGTAATTAAATGGAAAAAATGAAAGAAGTTTACACTTAGATTTATTGAGATTTAATTTTGTTTAAACTATGTTTGATGAACATTTATTACAATGATACCTACAAACAAAAGTCACAAATATGATGCAAAAAAGAGCAATTTTCTTTGTTTTTGCTAAATCTAAACTTTAATAAATAAAAATTAACTTAGCAAATCTAGAGTTTCAGAGCAATAATTGATACACACTTATAAACAGGAAGCTGTAACTGTTGTTCAACCATCAGCAAAACGAGAAGGATTTGCCACTGTACCAGATGTTACATGGGATGATATTGGAGCCCTTCAAGGTGTGAGGGAGGAACTACAGCTGGCAATATTAGTAAGTTTAACAACAAACATTTTAAGGTTTTACCTTTAAGTAAGACACATTTTCAAATATTTATTTTGTGCATGTAAAACTTTTATGGCATATTGGGCAGTGCTCTTCATTGTATTCAGCTTCATCATGCTATTTTTTTTGTTAAAAAGAGATGTCAAGCTGAAATGATACAAAATAAATGTATATGTGTGTGCATGTACAGGCATGGGCAGCAATAAAGGGGGCTTGCTTGGCTGAAGTTACTATAAAATGTGTCTTAGCCTCTCCTGTAGCTCTGAAAATCAGCAAAAAGTTTTTTTTTTCTTTCTCTTCCAAAACACTAAAGTATGTGCACCCAAAAAATATAGAATGCAGCCCCCTCAATTTTTTGTGTAGCTCCCTCACCAGGAAAAGGCTGGTGCTGCCTCTGTATACAGGATGCATAAAAGTTATGTGACGTATTACAAACTTAAACCACAACAAGACAGTAACAGTTATAAACTTGTGGTTTATGATTGATGAAGGCACATATGTGCAGTTTTTTGCCATAACAGATGTAATCACATATAACACATTCTAGACATTTGAACAGGAAAGTTGTTGATCTTGGTATCTTAACTTCATAATTTCACAAGTCATTTGTAAAACAAAAAGGTGCATGCAAAAAACATTTGTCAAGGCAAATCTAGAAATTTATCTATTTTCTTAGCTTCATTCATTTTATAACTTAGTGGTAGTCTTTCCTTGGGTCGTGTACTGTCTTTTGATTCTAATTGAGATAATAAGAAATTCAGTATTCTAATTGTTTTGTTTAGAAAATCTCAGAAACTTGTACAGAATGATGAATTTAGTATTTTTCTTTAGCAAAATGCCAAAACATTTTTAACCGTTCATTTACTTGTGTCAACTTTCCATGTCAGGTTTCTTCAAGCCCTGGAAAGAGCTATCAGGCTTTTAATTATGTTTCCTTCTCCTACTGTGCAGATAGTTCACTTTCTTTTGGGGATGTGGGCATCCCTTGAGCCTCTCATTTCTTAGGGATGAGCACATATGAGATCCCATCAGTGGTTCGTGACAAATTGATCATATATTCTGATCCTTTGTATCATTCTGTCACATTACTCAAGAGCAAAATCGTCAATTTATAATGGTGGTTGGATTGGAAGAACATTATTATTGAAGTACCTTTTCCACCACCTTGTCCTAAGATCCATCTGTTCACAGATGCATCTCTTCAGGGATGGGGAGCTTATGGTCAAGGCTAGGAGTTCCAGGGTATTTGGATGGAAGACAAGTTTATCCCCCATATCAACATTCTCAAACTTCTTGCAGTAGACCAGGTAATGGTTCAAGGTTTGTCTCTCTTCAAGGGAAAAACTGTCATGATACATTCGAACAATTCCATGGTGGTATCTCAGATTTCTTGTTAAGGAGCCACACATTCTCGAGAACTTTGTTTTCGTACCTTGGATTTTCTCTACTGGGCTCATTTCCATAGTATCAGTATTTTAGCATGTCAAGTTCCAGGAGTGATGAATTTAATTGTAGATCACTTGTCTCGACCCAACCAGATTCTTCCGATGGAATGGATGCTACATTACAAGGTTTTTCAGTGGATTTGCTCTCAGTTCGGGTCTCCAACAATCAATGCCTTTGCGACTCATTGGAATTCTCAACTGCAGGTGTTTTGGTCTCCAATATCTCATCCTCAGGCATTGGCATTAGATGTGTTCAGTCAGGACTGAACAGGTTTACATCTGTATGCCTTTCCCCTGATTTGGCTATCGTTTTGTGTCCTGACTGTGGTTTGTTCCACTGCCTATCAAGTTCTCTTAGTTGCACTATATTGGCCAGCTCAAAAGTGATTTCCACTTCTTTGGTATCTGCCGGAATGTCCACCCCCTACCTCTTCCACATTGTGAGTCTCTGTTGAGACAACCTCGATCAGATATTCTCCACCCAGATGTTCAGAAACTCAATTTTCATGCTTGGAAGTTAAGCGGTACTTTGCCCAACAAGGGTTTAACTTCTAAGGTTTCTCTATGTAACTAAATCTCTCCATAGGCCAACCACAGCCATTTATCAATGGAAATGGAGTACTTATCCTCAGTGGTGTATTAAAAGGAATTCCAACTCTTCATTCTAAAGTATCTACCATATCTCGTTTTATGACTTAGGTATTTGAGAAGGGTCTTGCTTCATCTACAGTGGCTTTATATAAGGCATCCTTATCCACTATTTTTCAGTAGTCCAAATATCAGAAGATTTTTTAATCCTCAGTACTATCAGGTCTACTCAAATCCTTTTGTATTCTTCGACCCAAATGACCTTTTCAAATACCGAATTGGGATTTTACAGTTGTTTTACATACATTGTCTCATCCTCCCTTGAGCCTTTAGCTTCGTGTTCTTTATTTCACCTTTCTCTTAACTTGTATTTTTTGTTGTTGTTGGCTTATGGACCTTGTCAGTCGGAGTTGTTTGCAATCCATGTACATCGGATTCTTTATCATTCTAAATTTGTCCTGCTTTACCCTGATAGGTCTTTTCTTCCCAAGACTCTGGCAGCCAGGGAAGGGGAAATATCCTTCTCACCAATCTATTTGTCAGCCATTTCTCACCTTTATGACCCCTCAAATTCTGACCATTTATTATGTCCTGTTAGGGCCCTCAAGTTTTTTGTGGCTTGTACTAACTCATTTTGAGGTAGTAGGAATTGATTGTTCACTCATTGGAATCCTTCTATTTCTCGTGATTTATCTTCCATTACCCTAACGAGGTGGCTTCATAAGTTTATTCCCATGGCCTATAATGGATTCCCATTACAGGAGAGGAATCTTTGCGTGTCACATCTTACCAGTTTTGTCATATCTCTGTCAATGGCCCCTAGTTTAATTGCCCTCCGGAAGACATTGTGTGGTCTGGTATGTGGATCACTCCTAATACTTTCCTATCTCATTTCTTACATGATCTTGCACTTTCCTCTTCTGAGGGTTTTTGACTAACCCCTGTGGCTATTTTGACCACATCTGTTAGATTTTAACCAGAAGTAAGTATTTTTCTCAATCATATACTCTTTTATTTCCATATCCCCTTAATTTTTACTGGATCCCACTCTGTGGTGAGTGTTGTCCAGGCAGGTATGCTTTCTCTTTTCAATTCTGCACTAGCAATCACTTTCACTATAATTACTACAGGTTGCAACAGGATCTATTGAGATGGGGTATTTCATAAGACCATCTGTGTTCCTACCAGATGGTATTACTTTATTATTATGGACCACTACTCATGGACTATCATGAGTAAAGCTAAAGAGGATCCTGCTCATTCCTGTCGATCTTCAGGTTGAATAACTCAGGGGTCAGTTTGCTTTTAAAAATGTAGTGAATTAGATTCACCTATTGCACAGTTTCCAGAGCTCTATTCTCCCCAACGTATATTACCCCCCCCCCAGACTGTATTAGTGGAGTTTGGAAGTCCTTACGACCTCCAGTATCCAGACATTGTGGTAACAGACAGAGGCATTTCCTCCAGAGTGTTTGAGTGTGTTCCTCTTCTCTTGATGAAGAGGGCAAAATTGGGGACCCTCCTACTCAGGTCCCTGGATGTTTTTGCCAGATGTCAGTAGGAGTGGCACTAACCTCCTCAGGATCCTGCTCGTAATTCTGGTTCAGATTTGACATGAAACTATCTGGTTTGGGGGGGGGGGCATGGCCTTTCTCTTTGATCAATGTTGCTTTTGTATATTGTTTATGGAAGGAGATCATCATGATTCTGAACATGAAGTGGTCCCATCCTAGGTCTTTGATTGAGCAAAGGTTCCACGTCCTTTCCATAATTCCAGAGACAAGCAGAATACTCCTTGCCAACTTGGTTGGGCAGTGAGGATGAATGTTCATAATTTCAGACCTGATGAGTTCTGTTCCTTTGGTTGAGTACTGCATACACAATCCCATCATTATGAGCCTGGGGTGTTGCCTTTTGGACTTCTTCAGGTTGAGGAGAAAGTTTGTCCACTTTGGTGTTGCTTACTTTCTCATTGTGATTTAAGTGGAGCGAAATGTATCACTCTATGGCTACAGGTTGAGATCCAATCAAGTGTATATATAACATTGTGGTCCAATAGCCCTAGCCACCAACGTGAGATATAATTCTAACCCCGAGTTGTGCAACATTGGCTATCTAGTTAGGGTTGGCCTATACTGATGATTACTCATATTCCATTCCACCTTTCATATAGGAACTGAGTTCCAGGTGAAAAACATACCTGTTCTGGATGTATTGCAGTTCCCCCATTCTTGTACCATCTATCTTGGTACACTTCTGTTCTATACAGATGCTTTCTATATGGTTCATGCCTGTATCAGCCCCCTCCACCTTCTCAATGTGGAATTCTAGCTATAGTGTCAGCTGAGATAAGTATGTTTTGGAAGTTAACATTTTCCTAAACTGAAAATGTATTTCCAATAATACTTACTTCTGCTGACACTCTCCCCACTGAAAGCCGGTTTATGTCTTGAAAAAGTGATTACATTATCTGATGATATGCTTATATACAGTACCTAGATAGAGGACGCATTGAAGTTGGTTGAGAAATTTGCAAATTAGATTTCCCAAGGGTATTCGAGTGGAGTATAAAAGACTGGAGCAAGCATTTTCAATGCTTAGATGGGCAAAGAGTGAAAACCCTGGCGATTAAGAAATAGCTATAGTGTCCCCGGAGGTAAATATTATTAGACATACATTTAGGAAAATGTTAACACCTGATATCGTGAGAAGATATTTATTTACTTTACATATTAAAATTCCTCTGGAAATGCCAGAGTACTTGCAAAAATGTAGCCAGATTTCTAGAAAACTAGAGTTGACTATTATGTTTATCATATTGTCCCTTAGTGGCTCAGTGGTACATTTATAGACTTATACCACTAAAATCGTGGGTTCAGTACCCTGCAGTGGACAAAGTACATATATATAATTCATTATCTAGCTTTGTGTTCAAACAAACAAATGTTTATCATATCTGATTTTTGTTTTAGATACTCTGAATTCATCAAACTATTGTTGGAGTATTTAAGATACAGTGCATATCTTTAGAAATACAACATGCTTATTTATAGTTTATAAGGCTGATACATAAAACATTTAATATAGTTGCTAGACAATGTATATTTTTTGGCCAAAAGGTTTAAGCTTTGATGACTTGAGACTGTTTCAGAGTGACAGACATTTAAATTATAATATCCTTAGCACTCTTTATATAATAGTAAATTTTCAGTATCATCTGGGATCTTAAGCCAAGGGGACTATCAGAAGAGGTGATAACTAGAAAACCTTGATTTTTAGTTGCAAGTGTATTGCATTATTCATAATAAATAATTAAAATGTTTTGTAATGAAATACAAATATTGAAAAAATACTTTTTTAAATAAAATTAAATAAACTATTAAAAAAGAAAACATAATTTCAAGTAGAATTTCAACAAATGCTTGATTTACTGAGATACATGATGTTAAATGAAAATATCAGGCTCTCGTATCGTAAGTTGTTCACTTACGTATTAATTTCAATCTTTTACCATTTTTTAAAAGCAATTTTATGTATATTTTAGGCTCCAATTAGACACAGAGAAAGATTTGAATCATTAGGACTAACAACCTCAACAGGAATACTGCTATGTGGACCACCTGGATGTGGAAAGACATTACTGGCAAAGGTTTGCTTTTAATTTTAGTCTTGGTTTCTGTGTAAGCAGAGACTTAAATGTATTGTACATTCTTATGGACTAAATAGGTTTATTAAATACAATAGCTACATTATGATGCATTTATCCTGAAGGAATAAAACTATGATGAGAGATTCATCTGAATATTTAAGCAGCTGGAGTAAGATTGTTTGACTTAAAAATCTCAAAGTTACATATTCTTTTTTGTTTTTAGGGTATACAAAAGATAGTTTAGTTTTAAAATATTTGCATTTGTTTTGTACGAATTATTAAGTTTTAGGTTTTTAACAGTTGCTTATATATAAGTACTCTCTTTGTTGCAAGCATCTTAGGTTATAATATTTATACAGGTTTTTTTTCTAAATATGAACAATTAACTAGTTATCTGAAAAAAAAAGGAAAAACCTAAAAAATATCATTGTTTGTTGCTAGTATAAAAGACATAGTCAGATGAAATATATCTTTATAGCTTATTATCTCAATACTCTCTTGTTATTTATAATTCAAGGACTACCATTCTTATTATTTGTTGTCATACAATGTAGCCTCATTCAAAGAACATATAGTTGTTTTTGTTTTGCTCATTAACAAACTAAAGATATAATTTAATTATGAATATTTTCTATTAATATATCTAATATGTCAATTTAGGTATTTTTCAAGTAATGTTAAACCTTTCACTGTGGCTGCTTTAAACACATGCATAATTTTTGTGAGTTGCACACTCACATTTGACTGCCAAAGGTGGACCATACTCTATATGGCGAATCAGCAGTCAGTGGGTTAATACAGAATAAGTGTCATTATTTGCTATGACTCCTATAACAGAGAAGACATTGCAGGTTTAAAATGGACTGCTTACAAAAATATGCTAACTGAATCATAAATCATAATAATGCATAATTTTCATTTTGCTAAGTTGTTCAGAATTTATCTTGGTATATAATTATAAAATAGAAGTTTGTACAGTTTATAAGTAATTTAAAAAATTGTGATCTTATTATGCTTTTAATGTATATTCTATTAAATTTGATACACTGTAAAATTTGTTATTCTGTTTTCACCTATGTCTATTTTATAACTTGTATGTTCACTTGATCGTAGATTACAAGGTAATAAAGAACCATCAAGTGGTTAACTTCAGAGTATGTATATTCTACTAAGAAGGATTTGTAATTTATATTTATTTTGCATACACCTAGGCTATTGCCAATGAATCGGGGATAAATTTCATCTCGGTGAAAGGACCTGAACTACTGAACATGGTATGTGTTTATCTTGAAAGAACAGCTAAGATATTAGCTTACCATAGTCGGAATTTAATAAAATATGTTCATAAGAACAAAATATTTATGTGTAAAATGCATATTTGAAACTTTAATGTTCAAGTAATATAAGATTATTATTCAAAATATGATTTTACTTTTAATACCTCCACTGACAAAACTTTTGTTAATGATAGTTTCTCTCGAAGTTTCTTCTTCTTTCATGACATTCGTGGTTTGCTTGTTTGTTGTTAAGCGTAAAGCTACACAATGAACTATCTTTGCAATGCCCACCCCAGATATTGAAGCCTGATTTTTAGCATTGTAAGCTTGCAGATTTTCTGCTGAGCCATTGGGGGGGGGGGGTGACATTTTTGTACTTATTTTCATATTTTGACCACATTGTGTTGATATATTTTATATCTTTCTTTTTTAAGATAAATGTGAAATAATTGTTTTTATTTTATAATATTGTTGTTAAAGTAGCTATGTAATCTGCAACATGACTAATGTTATTCTGTTTATATGCAGTAATAGTATTTTAGAATTATTTTTATTGGAATCTACACATTAAGAGTATTTCATAGCTTTGTTATGAAGTTAGATCAGTTGAATAATGGGAGAGTATTTTATTCTGATTTGCCAAAATGTGATCCTGTTGTTTTGAAGGAAAGAAGTTGAAATTTGAATAGAGAGTAATTGTTAATGAAAAACAATTCACAGTGATCTGCATTACCAGTATTAGTTTCCTTATTTATAGTAGTTAAGTTTTGTTCTGTTTCTTTAATATTTAAAAAAATATTAATTGTTTAAGTGTAATGTTCAGCTGTATCAATTTAGAAAATATTTAAAATTTACACAAAATGAGCAGCTTGACAGACTCTATGCTTTGTTAATATTCCAGTATGTAGGGGAGAGTGAACGAGCAGTTCGACAGTGTTTCCAGCGAGCCCGAAATTCTGTTCCTTGTGTGATATTTTTTGATGAACTTGATGCGTTGTGTCCAAGGCGTACAGATTCTGCAGAGGTATTAATAAATATGTACTGTTGTCTCATCTAAGCTGGCTGTGTGTTTGTGTATGTGAGCTTCTGTATGCTGACCTTGTTTGTTACACTGGTTGAAGCAGCCCTGTTTCAAAATGAAAATCTAGTAGCTACCTGTGTTGTCCTAAAACAACTGATTAACACTGTAGTACTGTAGTCTGAGAACTTCCTTCCTCAGTTATAAAACATCTATAACCAACAACAAAGTTGCTTTAAAAAGTTATTAATTTGGCATTATATAGATTGAAGTATTATCCTTTAACTAGAGAACAATTTTGCCCTACTGTACGTCAGCTACATCAGGTTAACCTTTTTGTTACTCTAGCTCTTGGATGCTATCACTGCTGGATTTATCCAACTTGACATTTATAGCCATTTGGTGCGACAAGCGGATTCACTCCGTGGTGTCACAAACACTTTTCCTCATACCACAACAATTGGGATACTCACACGTGTGTACATCACCAAGCAAAAGCACAAATAGTGGATTTTGTTATTGAAAAAGTACTAAAAAAGGTCATATTCTAAATTTCATTTTTTTAGTGGATAAATGACACTGTTTGAGAACCCACCTGAAAGTTAATTATGCACTCAGAGGGCTAGATTGGAAGATTCCATCCTAAAGCATTGAAAAGTTTTTCTGTGATAGCCAGCTGCATATACTGTTAACCTCATGATTCTCTACGAAAAATATGTTCCACCATCAAGCTTTAAACTTATCTGAGTACATACTTAAACTGGCTTTTTGATTGAGTTGAATCTACCTCATAGGTAGATTAATAGAATAATATTTTCTAATCATATCAAAATGAAACCTTTATAGAGAAGAGATAAATCAACATTTGTGACATTTTGGGGGCTTTTACACCGTACAGATCCCTTGATGTTAACCAATCAACATTTAATACAACATTCCAGGCTGTACTTTTCCACTTATTTTCTGATGATTCATAAGAACATTTTCAAAATAAGTTTTCTGCTTATTTCATAGTGGATTTAAAGTGAACAATTGTTATTATTGGTATTAAACATGAAAGTAAATATTTTGGCTTTTGTGCCTCGAAAATGAACCAAGTAAAGAGAGAATTCTTTCCTGAAAACTAATAAATAGACAAGTTAACTTTTTTGGTATTTTGGAATAAATGTAATGAAGTTAATTCCATATTTCATATAAAGTAGATAATTTAACTTGCTATTGGGTTTTGTACATACTTCAGAGTGGATCTAGTGCTCGGGTAGTAAACCAGCTGCTAACAGAAATGGATGGGCTGGAGGCCAGAAAACAAGTTTTTGTTGTGGGAGCAACTAATAGGCCAGATATTATTGATCGTGCAATGCTTCGCCCTGGGCGTTTGGACAAGTTATTATTTGTGGGACTGCCAACACCTGAAGATCGTGTGGACATTTTAAGGACTATAACAAAGGTATAATCATCACTTTCAATAACAGCATAAAGTTTTATGTTACAGACAAACTGAATTTGTTTGCTACTAATACTTTCAATACTTAAGTATTGGAGTATTCAAAATACTAAAAAAAAATGGTGTTTAGTATAAGAGTTAAACAGATTTTCTTTGTTCAAACTTCATTTTATTAATGTGTGTGCTATGACAGTGAACTACAAGATGATTGGAAATATTATATTGTTGATCTCTTTTTTTTTCTTTTCATAACTACCCACATTTTCAGAGGATATTTTTTGTTCCTCAAATGCATTTTCACTTGTATTTCAAAATATCTAATAACTGTCTCAAATGTATGTTAAATCTTACTTCAAACATACCCTTCCCTTTGCATTCAAAATAAATGACTAAACATAAAAAATATATTAAGTAAATATATTAAATAAAAATATATTAAATATATATTAATTAATATATATATTAAGATGAAATTTGGTTTTATAAAATAAAACCTTCATAAGAAAGTTTTAGAAGAATGTAGGAAAATTTTTAATTGTTCTTTTAAAAAAATGCATCACAATGAAATCTTTTTTAAATTTTCAAAGCTATGAATTCATAGAAGTATTTCATGAAAAAATAAGATATTTTATTTTCCTAGGGTATGTAATCTGTAGAAAGTTTTTCTGAAGTTTCAAACTATTTCATCCTGTAGTTTTTTTGTTTTTTTTGTAATGCAATATAACAAGCAGTCTAATGGTTATGTGTCCATTTGACACAACTAGGCATTTAAGAACTAAATAACTTTGAGATCATTCAATAGAAAAGTTCCAGTTGCCTGTTTTTTCTTTTCACTTATAATTATTTTGTTACAAATGTATAAGTATGTCTTGATGGTTCCTGTTACAAGCAGTATAGAAATTAACTAATAATTACAGATGTAACAGTAAGTTATTGGTGACATTATTAAGATTAATACTGCTATTTTAATATGAAAATACAAAGCAGGTACAAATATATTATACTTAATATTGCTATGAAAATTTTTGAGACATTAATTAAGCACAGAAATGTGTAATGATACACATGCAGATGCATTTATTTCAGTAGCACATAAACAAATTTAACATGTGTTACATCTATGAACATTCAATTACACTTTTATAGTTACATGTAGAGTTTTATTCATAGGCTTATAAAGTTTATTTCTACATGTTACAGAATGGTAAAAAACCTTGCCTTGCTAGTGATGTTGATTTGAAAGCTATTGGAAATGATTCTCGGTGTGAAGGATTCACGTAAGCTCAGTTACTTTTCTTAATCGTTAATGAAAATGTTTTAACTATGAAATATACATATCATGCCATTTTTAAGGAGAAATTTGTCAAACTCATCCTTAGGTATATTAATAATTAGCAGTGGTATTCACAAATGTTATGTTTGTTCATATATGATTTGATTGTTATTCATTTCTTCCATCTTAAGTGTGCAATTTCATTTCACCTTTCTGTGGTAAAATTCAGTAAGGACCGATCCATTTGTTAAAATCTTAATTTAGAAAATGACACAATTGAGTTATCAGGTATTCACATTAGATATTTTCTGTTATTAATGAGAAAATATTTGGGCATTTATAAAAATGAGTGCAGATAGACCATTGTTCATTTTTGCACTAAACAAAAACTAACTTATGAAGTGTTTGGTTATAAAATGTACCAATTATTTCCTGAGCTTCTTACTGGTTAATGACTGACAATTATAATAAACCTCTACCTCTTTTAGATTATTTTTATTCTGCTTGCAACTAATTAAGATAAAAATATAGTCATTATATACTTTATACAGAGGTGCAGATTTAGCAGCTTTAGTAAGGGAAGCATCGGTAGCTGCTTTAAAGGAATCATTGCCAAGTTTCTCATTAAAGAATGAAGAAGTTGAGAAAGACCAGGAAGAAATAAAGGTTTTTAACAAACACTTTCAAACTGGCTTTTTGAAAGTAAAAGCTTCAGTGTCTTTGAAGGTGAGCAACATTTGATACTTTGTTATTATCACTGTTCTACATCAGTTAAAGAAAAGCTCAGTACAGTTTTCTTTTTAACAGTAAATTGTAAGATAATTAATACTTTTAGATATATATTCTTCATTACTAAAAGAACTGAATCCTGTGCAATTAGTTGTAGTGTTGATTCCCTTCATCTAATATAAATAAATCATTATGACTCCTGTGTTGTTTTTTGTAATTTATTCTGTTATTCACAACTACAATATTTCAAAAAGTATATACTATTGCAGTAATATTAAGGAAGAAGAAGTTATTGTTTTCTCTGTTGTGTTTTCTGGGCTGTGTCACAAAGAAGGCATGGGCTAGTGGTTAGTTGGAATATGAACCATGGACCCTCAGATTCATATTGGATTTCTACAAAATCACTTTCTGCATTTTATGGTCATGTGTGCATTATAAGAGTGATGGTCAAGTAAAACTATTTGATTAGAGTAACCCAAGAGTTGGTGGTTGGTGCTGTTGGCTATCAAATTTATCAGTGTAGCTTTGAGTGTATATACGAAATAGACAAAAAAGAAAAAGAGGAAAACTTCTAAAAACATCACATTCAATTCTCCAGTATTGTATAGAAAAATTCAACCAGAAAGTTTCATTGTGCTGCATTTGATTGGTTTGAGAGTATTCACTACAAACTATTTATTTCATCAGTAATGTTTTCATATTCAGCTCTCTCCAGAATAAACAATTTGTGTCCAAAATTCTTATATTTGTTCTATCTCATCATTCATGCTTTTTATTTTGCATAGTTAATCATTAAGTGGTTTTTGTTTTGCTAAAAATTCTATTATAACATGCAAAATTGTGATTTTTTGGTTTTATCTACTTCTTATTAGTAGTTCTACATCAGTCATTTAAGTGTCTTTTTCATCAGAAACTAAAGTGCTTTACTTTTTTACACTATAACTTAAACACTAATACAAATGAATTTGATTTTATTTTCATGTTCTCACTTTAAGATTTTTTTTAATTGTACCATACAATAGTATATACTTTAAGCTCTTAAATTTCATTCAAATCATTATTCAGTAAGTATTTTCAATTTTTTTTTTTTTCATTTCCAAAATGCTAGTGTAAAAAAGTTTACAATATGTTTCTCTTATAGAATCATGTAGTATGTTAGAATGAGAGAAGTAACTGTTATGAGCTATGAAGTTTTGGGAGTTAATTGATATTAATTTAATTCTAAATTTTAAGAAAAAAATGTAATTTGTTAAAACATTTCTGTTATCAGGATCAGAGAGTATATGACAAGATCAGACAAACAACTTTAATGAAAGTAACTTCACAAGGCGTTACCCTAGGAGAGAAATCAGCCTCAGTTAATCAGCCACTGATAGAGAACCTGAGAATAACTAAAGTCAACAATGTGCCAGATTTAGAAGGTTCTTTCTCTCTTAAGAGTGATGAAGAAAAGATGCCTACAACATCTTTACTAGTTAATTAATATGCTGTAGTTAAGCTACTGATGTACAGCAAATAGCAAAGATTGTTATTGTTTTTTACAAAGTTCTTATTCCTTGTTGAGAATTTTTTGTGTATTATTAAATCACTTTGATTCCTAATGTGTTTTTTTTTGTGTTTTATTTCAAGTCACATATTTTTCACATGCTAAAACATTTAAAAAGACCTCATTGATTGCCTCACAGGTTTTTTGTTAATCTTTTTTTTTATTAATTGTGAAGTTCATATCAACATCTCGGGCAACTTTATGTATGAACCAATAATCCTGTATCTTTCTTGTGATGAGTATTATTTCTCTATCATCCTTAAAGAGCTTCATAATTTAGTAAAAGCAGATGACTGTGGGTTAATTTCTATGCTTGTAAGTCCTCTGTGAAATGTCTGAATATAACTTATAAAGTTTTCATGCAAGAAAAATAGTTGTAAACAAATAAAAATAATCAATTTATAAAATTGTTTTCTATGTCATTATAAGTCAAAATACTAAACATTTTTGAGTATTATGAAAGATATTTCTCTTTTCCTGATACTGTTTTATTAAGACGTATATACTTACAAGAGTTTTACCTTATTTAAAACTATTCCATATAGTTTGTAATATCTTCCAATAATTGAATTTGCACAAAGGACATATTCTCTGTAAGTTTAATGTTTTGTCTAATATGTTGTTTGCTAATTTGTTTAATCAGAAACCAGAAGTGGCAGGCATGACAGAAGTTGCTATTAAATATTAAGGATTCTAGAAAGTAGTACACAAAGCAGATGCTTTTGTCATGCTGATTTAATAGTAGATAATTTGTAGCAAGCAGGATAGTTAATTCTATTACACTGATTAGCCTTCTAGAAGTAGTAGACAGGACAGATCCTTTTCTCTCTCTCTCGCTGTGTAGATTAACTTTCTTGTGGAAGAAAAAGCAGTTAAATTTATAGTGTTGAATGACTTTATGGAAATTACTATTGAGATAGTGATTTATCTATTTCTTTTGAGTTAAAAACTTGTTATTACTTCAACATTTCCACTTGTGACATCTGTAGAATTTAACATCCCTCAGATCACAGTAATAGTTGGCTCAGTGAAACCAATGCTTTTAAAAATGAATACTAAAATATAATGATATTACAATATAATTTTAAGTTAATAAAAACAACAATGAATTTAGAAATAGACACAATCAAATAATATAATTTAAAGAAAGTATCTTGTGAGCAGTATAAAAACTAAAGTTCAGAAACAATATTTTAACTCCAATTAGCAGCTTTTTTTATACCATTCTATACTAATGGGTCACTCACATTATAACAAATGGACTCATTTTATGTCTTTGCATATTAAAATACTCATTGTAAAGAACAGACAAAGAATTAGGTGAAATAATTAATTTCCGACGTAAAATATTTAGTGAAGTCTCACAGTAATTAGTTGTATTAATTGCAATACCATTGATATTTTTGCTAACATTTTTTTATATGACTCCTATGGTATCAGTGACTGCATAAATAGTTTTAAAAAATGTTTAAAAAGCTACAGGGTTAAGAAGTACATATTATTCTACAAAAGAACAAGGTAATAAATATAACTTCAAGTTTATATTATTAATGTGAGGTATAATTTATGACAATTGAGAAATACATAAAAGTAATTCACAAACAATATTTTCAAATTTACATTTTTTTTTTTACAAGTGAACAATATATTTATAAATGTAATCGTTAAGAACAGTTATTATTTTTTTTTTAACTAACAAGAGTCTCTGGTGGAGTGGGTACATGAGCAACAGGTCTTGTAACAGATTGGAGGTTCGAATAAGAAAGATGAGCAAAAATAGCAGTCATCTCCATGGTTTCTAGGCTTACACCAGACCATTGGAATTGCAAAAGGCAAATACTTTTTCTTACCTTTAGTCCATTGTCTCAACTCTTCGACACAAATTATGCAAACTTTGTGTGGAACCCATGATTTGTCTTGGTCCCCAAGTTTTATTCAAAAATACGCGTAATACGCTTTTTTTGCAAATTCTGTAATGTTTTGCCTTTGTTTCTTTACAAAAAATTTAACACAAACATAACAGAATATTTTTGGGTCATTCACACACCTTTTGTTGCCATAGCGACGAATAAATAATATTGAAAAGAAAACAATAATGTCAAAGTGCACTCACAAACAAATACTATCCAGAATGACACGTCATGCGGCCTGTTAACTGTTTATATACTAGCGGTGTGTTTCTCATGGGTTCTAGAACGATCGATAAGACTCAAATTTCGATTTGTCTAGAAAAATCTATAGCCAATGCTTGTCAATATTTTAAGCATAACAAAATGTGATCTGATTTCAATGAAAATGATTCAGTTATGTAGAAGTGCATATGGCGTTTTGTGAAAAATGTGTACGTGATGGAGAATAATGGATATCATTTTCGGATTCGGCGTACAGAAATCACTATAGAACATGTAAAAAGTTCAAGACAATAAAACATTTCAGGCCTGTGTTATCTGTCATAGGTTACTTTTGAGCAGAAGATCTTATTAATTGTGATATAACTGAGAAAGTAAATTAGATTTTACTTTTAGTGATCAATCCATTATTCTGTTGTTTTTGTTTAATCTAGCACAAAGACACACTATCTGCGTTGTGCCCACCACATTCACTGGCTGAAATATTAGAAACCCATTCCTACAAAATAACTAGACGTCATTTCCTGTTTATACAAAGTAGGTGTATACATATTAAAGAAATAAAAACATCATGGGTCTAGAAATACAGATGATAAATTGTATGAGCATCAGTTGTTATAATGTGAAAGGCGAAAAATTTATCAAACTTGGAACTAGGTGTTATTGTTGAAGCTCGATTGTAAAAATAGTCGAGCTGACGAGAAAATCAAAAGATATTGTATCCTGAGTTTACATTGCATGGTTATCAGATCAGGAAACTTCACCTAATAAGGGAAAATGTCAGAAGAAAGAGCTACCAAACTTGGATAGGGAGCAAATATCGGGGATTTTTTAGGCTAATAGACGTTAAATCGTGGCTGAATTGACGAATAACTTTAATAATGGCCTAGGAACATTAATTTCCTGCATAACAATGCTTAGGGAGATCCACGAAATTAACATTAGTAAGTATTCCTCCGTATGTAAGTCACTTGTCTCTGCTAACAACAATAACAATCTCAAGGTACTGGTCGACTGGATGGTTTCCCAATAAAAATATGTATTATGGTCGGATGAATCACGCTTCACATCCTTCTATAGTAACAGTAGGGTTAGAGTATGGTGACAATCCATTGAAGTCGCATAGTTTCTATTGTACACGCTTCCGGAAGGGAAGCAGTATTGTGGTATTCATTTGCATGGCACAGGATAAGTCCCCTGGTTCTCTTTAATGGATGTGTCTCTGTTTATGAATATTTGACCTCCCTAATTGACAAGGTGCACCCGCAATATTCTATTTTTACTCAAAGATAATTACTTCCGGAAAATAATGCCACCAGCAAAAGTGCTATAATCTTTCATAATTAGCTCACTGAGCATAAGACAGACTTCCAACATCTACCCTGGTCTGCAGAGTCTTCTGATCTTAGTTCCTTCGAAAGAAAATGT